ATCGATTTTTTGTCGCATAAAAGCTATCTATTATAATGTGTTATAAAGTTTACTAGGACCACTAACTTGCTCTATAGTCATTCAGGACATTTAACAATGACATGGAATAAAAAAAAAGCGACCACCAGAAATGTCCTTCATACCACAGTCCATTTTGTGATATTTGCAATTAAACCTAAATTTCGGAGAGAGTTTTTCGTTATTGTTGTCACATTATTGCTGGTGCAATTATCTTCGCAGAAATTTTTAGTAACTATTTTCTGATGACCTTACGTAACTGCAAGTTTAACGTAATTTTAAACTATTTTTTTTGTTAATCTTATTTGCATACTTTAGTTTCTCTGAATGTAGTATGAGAACACATATGTTCTATTTATATAATTTTCCAATTATATTTAAATATATTGCGACATTAGAGACTATAACTTCATTTATGATGTTATTTTTGTATAAGCCAACTCGAAAATCCTTAAAACGAGTATGAAAAAAATTATTCATATCTATATGACCAAAGTCAAGTTGATGAAATGAGGAAAAAGGAGCAAATTGCATAGACTTTTGTAGTTAACCTTTTGATATTTCGGCTCATAAAATAAACTATGATATTAACATAGACTTCCTTAGCATAATTGGAAAAATTTGAAATAAAAAATTATATCGTCACGGTATGCATTATTTTCTTCATATAAAACAAACAGGTAATTTTACATGAGTTCTTTTACATTTTACATGAGGCCTAATCTTGCTTCCTAGTACAAATCTGATAGCAATGCAAGTATGGAAGTTGTGAATTTTCACAAGTAAAAGGCTTAACTTTTGATAAAAATTGCCAAGTTCAAAGTCAATATCTCCAACTGTAGTGAGGAAAAACCCGGAAATTGTTTTCTAGAGGCTCACACTGTTATCGATATTTACCACAAATGAACTCGACTTTGTAAGTAACTCCAAAAATATATCAATTATACACGTGCACATGACAGCCTGCAAAAATGCTGTGCATATAGGAGGCTTCAGTCGCTTCTGAATTGGGCAATTAACCGATAACTGTCGCAAACGTACTCGAGTCACAACCGAAGTCGAGAAATATGTTAAATTTATACCTGCGCATTGATTGTAATCATTTCGCTTCACTCTAGTCGTTTTATATATTAGGTAATCAACCGATAAGTAAAGAAAATGAGATTGGATCTCCGCCAAAGTTGGGAAATAAGCTATATTTGCAACTGCGCAGTGAATGTATTAATGTGAAATTATTAATTATTCGCTTTTAAATATGTTAATAAACACATAATAACCACAAATTAACTTTAATGTACACGGCACACAAGAAAAACTGGAAATTTCACACATGCGCAGTGGCTGTGGGAATTTCAGGTTTTGGAAATTAGTAAATTAAAAATTATATAATTAAGTGCAAGACTTAAAAATCATGTAAATTTTTGTCACTAAAATCAACCATTATGTGGTTTTACATATATTACTAGGTCCTCTAACTTGCTCTACAGTAATTCAGGACATTTCCCAATGAACTTACCCGAAAGAAGCGACTACTAGATATCTCTTTCATTTAAAAGTCTATTTTGTGAAGCTGAAATTTTAACTAAATTTTGAGAGGCGTTTATGACCTTTTTTGGTCACATCATATGTAGGGTTCATGGAGTATGCTTTTTGCTATCTCATGTTCGGCCTAAACTGTGAGTTTAATTTAATGACATTCCCAATTTTATTGTCTATCTTATTAAACACTTTAGCACCAGAATTTTTTTAATGATGTTTAAATTCACTGCGCTTGCCGAGATCATTATTAATTTTTATTTTTATTTATGTATCCTCAAAAGTCCCTTCAAAGAGTTAAAAAAATTTAATCAAAAAACAATAAGCCTACAATCAAATCTGTGAAAAAATTGGAGGGTTGCACTGAAAAGAAGGGAACTAAGTCTGTAGACTTTTAACTTGTTGATATATATTTTAGTATTTTTTGTTGATATTTCCAGTAGCTTGTTAATATTTTCACTCCTGAAATAGACTAAGACCTTAACTTAGGTTCTTTTTACGTACTTAACATAGGCTTGCTTCTGATTCTTTTCGGAAAAGCTATTGACAATCATGGACACCGATTTTTTTAAAATAAAATCTCCGACAACCACGGGAAAACGATTTGTTCGCTGAAAAAAAAATCGGTTAAAGGTAAATTGCAAGTGGGAAAAATAACAACAGTTAGAGATCATTTCTACGTAACTAATGAATGTAATCAGTAAAAAATTGTTAACAATGAATTATAATTTCCACATATATTTCATAAATTCGAAATATCAATTCATACCGATTTTAATTAAACGGTCCTCCATCTTCATAATAGTTCTGGTCGAGAAGCGGGGCCTAATCTTAAAACCCAAACACCATCATTGACAAAGAATTACGCATTCTTATTTGCCGGACTTACAGTGCTTATGGTCTGAAGAATCGGCCCAAGTAGAAAGTCCGGTCCAAACAGCGTACATCAATGGCTGGTGCATAGTTGGCTTGTAAGTTCACGGTGAATAAGTCGATAAATTCAGAGCAGCACATTTCGTTAAGGAGGTCTTGCAGGCAGAAATCTAAGCAGTAGCCACTGCAGCAGAGGCTCCTGCCTTCGTCGGGTAAACTGAGGTAACTGCAGAGCAGAGTCGAGCCAGTCTTTCTTCGCTGAATATCCCGCGTCCGCCTGACGCCGCACCTTAATTGGGTTTTCTTTCCCATTTTTTTTTATCCGGAGCGCGGACAATAGAATTCGGACAATTTAAATTCAAATAGGTGTTGGCTCATACGTTAGACAAAAATATAAAAAGATTTTAACAATATTAAACGTGACTGACTGAATATTTGAAGGTTAAATTAGCAATCGATTTGGCAGGGCCTTTGGCAGTTAATCTCTCCTCTGATATTTACCCCTCAAATATTGCGATCTTTGATATATTGAAGACATACGCTGACTGTATTGCTGGCTGATGTCAAAGAGGAAGCAAGATTATGCAAAATGGAAAAAAATAATGTTTTTGCACAGACAACACAATGGGTTACAAAATAAAATACGCGGAAGAATTCTCTTCGTACATTGTTAGAAATGAATCATAGCTAGGGGTTTTTATTATAAGTTACTTTTAAAGTATGTTTAGAGTGTCTATCTTAAAAAATCGTGCTCTATTTCAGGAGCAAAAATATCAACTGATTATAATACAAACAAATGTCTGTTAAATTTGCTCCCCTAATTTTAATGCTCCACGCCACTTGTTAAATCTTGAATTGTTCTGCAGGATCTACCCGACCTCAGTTCGCAATTCCGGGTAGATATCTCTTTCATTTCAACAACGAGTTAAACTCTTTTGCTTGATCTTACTCCAAAAAATGTAACTCAGTACTCACTGCAGTGAGTGACAGAGAGCACATTTTTTCAAAATCGACGAAAACGTGAAGTCACGGACAGACAGACAGACGGACGGACATGGCGAGCACAATAGCGCCTTTTTTCCATAAATGAGAAAATACGCTAAAATATAAATATAATAATTAGTCAGTCGTCAAGGATACAAAACTGATTCACATTAATTATTTCCTTTATTTCGCTCAAATCTTCAAGCTCCCCAAAATTTGACCATCGAATTTATTATCGTCGCTTTCAACGTTAAATTTCGCCATCGTGAAAATCTATTTTGATTCGACGAAAGAGCTACGGGCGGTAAACTAGCTACGAAAACGCTGTGCACTGGAAAATTTAGAGCTCACACATTAATTATTGTACTGCCAAAGTATCTCCAAAGTATTATTGTACTGCCAAAATAGAACACATAAAATCCAAGATTACAAGGAAATGAAATTTTAGATCCCTTTTTTCATAGACTCGACTGTTGGCTTCAACCTTTGACTATTTCTTGAATTTTTTTTCAACTTTCGAGTTGGTTTACTGTATAAATAACATCATAAATGAAGTTAGTCTAAAAAACAAGGTTTAATATATTATATTCCACTTGGAGGAACTACAACAGTATACTAATTAGATTGTAGTTGTTTAATCCTACAGTTTAGGGCAAGCCTAAAATATTCATAAATAATAATATACGTTTAAAAATTACTTTTTTAAGACAACACTTCCAAAGAATCCAGTGTCTCCAATGTTAAAGATGTACAATGAGTTTCTCATTTTATTTTGGAATAATAAAAAGATTAATTTTTCAATTTTTTAATATATAAATTTTTTTCAAAATTATTTATTCTGTCTTTTTATTTATGAATTGCCTCCAACTTCACACAAGTGTGAAAAATTTCAAATCAATTGGACAGGTAAAAGTGTGTCAAATATCAATTATAAGATATGTAAATGACAAAATTATTTTTTACATTTTTTTAATATTGAAAAAAAAAAATATTCCTAAAATTATTTATTTTGTCTTTTGATTCATGCATTGTCTCCAACTTTACGCAAGTGTGCAAAATTTCAGATCGATATGATAGGTAGAAGTGTATTAAATTTCGATTACAAGATTTGTAGCAGACAGACAGATGAACAGACAAACAAGAAGTGAAGTTAAAGAGAAGTGTTGTAATAAAAAATCACGAGAGTTTATTTTTCCCGAAACGGCAGGAATGCCCCGATAAATTTAAACGAAATATCAAAATCATTAAATGGACGTAAGTATTAAGGAGATATCTGGTGGTGGAATTTTATCCCATGTCATTTTGATATAGTACAGTATAGTAAAGTACAGTACAATACTGGACAGTATAGTATAGTAGTACAGGATAGTATGGTACAGTACAGGACAGTATAGTAATAGCAGCGTTCATTAGGCCGCAGGCCTGTCGCTGATTCTTAACATCGCCGAAAATCCCCAGCATGTTGCTGTCTTGAACTCGCAACTCACTGCTACAATTCTGCTTTGCTTAACCGCCCGGCCTCCTCGTCGATTCTGACCAGAAACTGGCGCACAGAGCTGGGATCGAACCCGCGCCTCTCTGCGCCAATCAGGAAGTTCAGCGAGGATGGCAACACCGCCCGTCAGGTGCTTGTGCTTGGCGCAGTGTTGCTGCACGTGCGCCATCACCTGCGCCAGACGTACGAGACATAAATATATATATTATATTCTTAGGAAGTTCAGCGAGGATGGCAACACCGCCGTCAGGTGCTTGTGCTTGGCGCAGTGAGCCAGACTTAGGAGTCTTGAATGTTTACGTTAGAAGGTACACATAAATTTCAGCGACAATTAGAACATGATTTGACAGATTAGACAAAGAGCAAGATGAAGCGACGAAGCATTAGTTTGTTTCTGTCGTGCGCCTGAACGTAGAGTTTGGAAGCGCCGTGTGGTCACCGAAACTTGAACAGGACAAAAATTTAAGTGTTCAAAGACGCGCAACAAGGATAATTCCAGTCTTGAAGGGCAAGTCCTATAAGAAAGATTAAAGATTATGAAGCTTCCAAACCTCTGTTATGGACGGCTGCGTGGGGACTTCATTGAAGTATACAAGTATACTAATGGTTTATACAAGGTCCCAGAAGGATTACTGGAATTTGATAGAAGAGCCAACACCAGGGGCCACGACTTTAAACTAAAAAAATTGCGTTGCAACTCATCCACGCGACAACATTTCTTTTCGCTTCAAATCACCGACATGTGGAACAGCCTCCGAGATTACATCGTTGATGCTCCGAGCATAACCGCGTTCAAGAACAAACTTGTTAAAGCTATGGAGAAATGTATTTTCAGACTTGAAATGCCTAGCACCGTATCGAACTTGGTACGTGGAAGTCTAGTAGCTATTTCAAACTATCGTCAGTCATGAAAAATTCCGGTCAAAGGACATGCTTTTGGATATTCTGTGAACAAGTCACGAGAAGTACAAGAATCGGCGATAGGCCACATCAGGCCTACTCTTCGGCGCCGACATTACTATATACATGTTAGGTTATGCTACTACCAACCTTCAATTAATAATACTTTGTTTTACTGACCACTCGCACCAAATTGGGCGATATCGGTTCATGCATGTTGCATCAAAGTTCAAATTGAACTTAGGCTCTTATAAAGATCGCCATTACAGTAGGAGAAGAAACCAATTAAAAAATTATTTCATGCAAAAAATGTATACCATTGTAGTTATAATTGCATGTATCAATAATTGTATACTAACGATCTACACTATAAAAATTCACTGATGATGATTACCTAGTTGTGAACCCTTTTTATCCCTACTACACTTTAGGCTCTGAAGATTGCATAAATTCGTGAATACGAGTTGATACATGACTTTCGCAATACAATTTGAAAATAATTTGTTGCAGATGTTAACATAGGGAGGATAATGACAGTTAAGGTCTTGTGTCAACTGCACTATCTTTTTTAAGTCGTTTGTTCCTCAGAGACATACGAACTGCGCGTTTACCCTCACTCTAATAAGTTCCTTGTACACGGGATCAATAGTGGCAACCGTAAGTATCAAACATCCTCTATTTCCGTGTATTTTTAGCACATTTTCTCATTTATTTAAAAAAGGCACTATTGTGCTCGTCATGTTCGTCCATCCGTGACGTCCGTCCGAGACGGCCGGACGAACATGAGAAAATGCGCTGTCACTCACTGCAGTGAGTACTGATCTAATTTTTTCTATGACAGCCTCTATTTCCCGTGTTATTGGCATCGTTGTGCTACGCTGCTGGCAACGTGAGAACCCTGTTACCATTGATACGAAGTCAATAGCATGATAATTAATCGCATTTATCCTATGTCAGTTGTAGTGTACATAATTGACCTCGTGTACATTGTACAAGCACATTGAGACCGTCACCGGCAATACAGATTAAAACTGTTCCAAAAAGCGACATCCTTACAATAATTTATTTGGAAAGATTTAAGGGCACTTTAGTGAGCTTCTTTCTGTAATTGCTGTATATGTAGAACTTGTGTATATAGTCACCGTTTTTTCATCGATGCCGCCCTTGGTGGTGATGTAGGCCCTGGGGGCTTCACCCGTCATGTCGTGGGGGACACCAACCACGCTCACCTCCACCACCTGGGGGAGCTGCAGGATCACGTCCTCTATCTCGCTGGGGGACACCTGGGTGGACAGGAAGAGGGGTAAAAACTTTGGGGGCGAACATAGAAGAAAAAATATTTTAACAAAGAGAGAGAACGAGTGATTACATTCTTGGATATACTAAATAAATTCTTGGATGGTATAACAAAAAGAACACTGAACAAGTCTGAATTTCAACATTTTATTAATAATCAAACGGAGGGCCAGAAAGATGCATTGGAATAGAAAATTTTGTATACAGAACAATATTTGGTCGTATTAAAATGCGCCTAAAAAATATTTTGAAAATATTATTGACCTGCAGAGCGTTAATATTTGAACGTATTAAAATGCTCCTCGGTGATATTTTGAAAATGTTAGTGACCTGAAGAGAGTTGACTTTGATGAGCTCCTTGATCCTGTCGACGACGCTGACGTAGCCGTCGACGTCGTAGCGTCCCACGTCGCCCGAGTGCAGCCAACCGTCCTGGTCCAGCGTCGCGGCCGTCGCCTCAGCGTTGTTGTGGTACGCCTTCATCAGCTGACGGGCGGGGTACGGTTATGACGTGGCCTTATTGGCCGTGATACGGCTGATCATTGGCGGCTACGGCTAGGCTGTGGTACGCCTTCATCAGCTGACGGGCGGGGTACGGATACGACGCTGTTTTATGGCGGCGGCTATAGCAATATTTAACTGCGGTGTCGGCGTTGATGTCAATTATAGCACTATGCTGATTCTAGAACCTGAACTCTCTAAACCAATTTTGTTGCTCGTGACTTTTAAGCACTCGGCTACCCCAACTATATGGCATTTAATTGCTATAAGTATAAAATGTAGTGCTGTGGCATCAGCTGACCGGTTGGATACAGTTAAGTTTCTATCATCGGCAGCTGTACTGCTCATCATTAAAAGTTTTACATGGGGCGGTAACGTTGAAATTTTTTTCCTTGCTGGATGTGCAGCTCGGATACGGCTGGATCCTCTTCGTTGGTTGCAGCCATGATACAAGTATCCCTAATACACTTATTTCAATGTATATGGATACGATTTTTATATCCAATATAATAGGTTAAATTATTGGAAAGTGGGAGCTTTCCATGAAACAACTTGTGTTTTATAAAGCAACATTTCATTTTTCGAATTGTTAAAAATGTGTTGACAATCAGGAACAATTAAAAAAAATTTTCCACTGAAAAAATGCGTTTCTCTGCAAAATTGTGCGTACAAATTAAATAGAGTATGTTTGTACTGACGAAAATGATGAACATGAAAAAGTCTCATTATTTGCTTGAAAAGCGTTAATAGATTAGAGAAGTTGTAATTCAATAATGCTTTAATGCACAAGTATTAAATAATGTATCTTGATTCCTGGCATATGTGGGCAAGAAGGACAAATTCAAAGAAAATAATACTATATAAATAATATATCTTATTTTGCAGAGATTTTCATCTCACCGTTGGTCCCCGCGTACAGAGTTCCCCCACTTGCCCCACGGGGAGGTCCTCCCCTGTGGTGAGGTCGACCACCTTCCCCTCGAGCCCCGGCAGAAGCTGCCCCGTGAACCCCACCCGCGTGTCCCCCACGGGGTCCTGGTGGCTGATCAACGTCTCGGTCATCCCGTAAACTGCGCGGGGTGGAGCACAGTAATTTTACATAATTTGAGTTGCATAAATTTTCAAATAATTAATTCGAATTGCATAGTTTGAATCGCACGTCAAATAAATAATTTGAATTGCAAAATTTGAATTGCACGTCAAATAAATAATTTGTATTGAATTATGTTGGTACAATTATTGTGATGAATATTTAATTGTGCTCGAAATTAAAAATATTCAACATGGCAGTGTACTTGATATAAGATCATCATTAAGAGATTAAGATATAAAGCAAAGTGATACAAACAATGGTGTTGTCACAATTAAAATCCATCAAGTAAAATATTCATCATGAAGGTTTTAATAAATATATTGCAATAATACACCCATTAAGAAAGATATTCATCATTTTAACGTGTTAGTAAATATATTAAAATAATACAACCATTAAGTAAGATATTCATCATTAAAGGCTTAATAAATATATTAAAGTAATACACCCATTAATCAAGATATTCATCATTTAAGGCTTAATAAATATATTAAAATAAGACACCCATTAATCAAGATATTCATCATTAAAGGCTTAATAAATATATTAAAATAAGACACCCATTAATCAAGATATTCATCATTAAAGGCTTAATAAATATATTAAAGTAATACACCCACTGTGTAGGAGTTGGCCGTGCGGGGCGATGACGTCACTGACTTTGGCCACGGCGGTGGGGGGGACGGGGGCGGCGCCAGACAACACGGCGTCAACGTGCGAGAAATTCTGTCGAGTGAATTTCGGGTGCGCGAGCGCGAAATTCAGGAGTGAGGGAACCAAGTGCATCATGTTCACCTGGGGCGAGAATTTTTCAATTTCGATGCATAAATAACTTCAACGCATACTGGGTCGTAATTTCAGGAGCGAGGGAACCAAGTGGGGCGAGAATTTTTTTTCAATTTCGATACAAAAGTAATGTCAACGTTTGCTGGGTCGTAATTACTCCAACATTCGCTGGTGATACATGGTTAAAATTGCCAAGAAAGCTTCCTGAGTCGAATATACAGCAACATTTGAAGGTAATAAACTTGCACTATATATCATGGGAACTACCCAAGCTTTGCTAACCAATTACGCATAGATAAGTGTACCAACCTATTCAAATATACGAGAAGAGAGGTTGGAATGACAATTCAACTACACAAAAAGGTAAGAACAACAAAAAATAACAAAAAAGAATAAGATAGATACTTCAGGTGCGAAAGGAAAAATTAAAATGAACGATTAAGACTAAAGATAAAGGGTAAAAAGCACAGTTTTCTTTATTTAATTAGCTTAAGTTGAAACTCCCGTTTATTGATAGTTTGTGGGTAGAAATTTCAGTCGGTTTGAAATCTATGGATCCGGTGCTATTGCAAACTCACTTTATGTTCAAGTAGAATTTCAATAAATGTCTGAGGCTTGAACTTTGTGATGTTGAGGAGTTTTATTCCATTGAGAATCGCTAGGCTGGAAATTGCCAGGAACCCCGACAAGTGGAACATGGGCAGCGTCATCACCAAGCTCGGGCACTCAGCTGGAAAGATATAAAATAAAATTTCATGATAATTGACTGTTAATTTGATATAGAACACGTCACAACGTCAGGCAAGTGCAGGAGTTTCTCTCAGAATTTTAGACCATGCAAGCGTCGGAGGAAAGAGAAGGCTAAGAGAGTAATTTTGATTTCGAGTTAAAAGTTGTCATTGAACAAAATTTCCCAACTTCACACTAGTGAGAACATGCATAGGCAAGAAATCGATTGTTTTTGTATATGTAAGTTGATTTGTTTTGATCAGCTTGTACAATAATTTTCGAGGGGGTTCGAACAGATAAAGTCTGTTCAGTAACTATTCTTTACTCGATCGATTATTGACATCATTCTATATATGTTGATGTGATAATGTCGTATTAACGTTGGAAAATAAATCAAAACTAAACGAACCAAGATCACGTTGATTCAAAGTCGAAATTAGGTTGTTTTACTTCTCTTGGAATGTTGGTCACATTTAGACGTTTATTCAAGGTTCAATTTTCATTGATCAACATTTTAACTTGGAATAAACGTTGTTTCAACGTCAGATGCCTGCTGGGAAGCCTGGGAATTTGCAGTTCCGAAAATAGAGAACACTACAAATACCTCCAGTGGACAACACCCCGACGAAAAAAATTGGGTACGACGGTTTGTCGATTTTTCGGGCCGATTTCACTCCACTATAGCGTCACTATATGACTTCACCATTAGACTGCCATATAAGAAGTAACTGGGGTGAGAAATTTGGTCGATTTTGCCGGTTTTCTTCACTCTAATATAGCAGCACATTACACCTTCAGGGGAGAGCATATTTTTGCAGATTGATATCCCTTCGCAAAAACAGCACAATGAGCCTACCATGCAGTGGGCAGCCGAAGTATGTGGGAAGGGTGGGACAACATGTTCATGTTGCGCTTACTGTTATCGTTTGCTGGTAAAATAGATTCCAAGCCAAAGCTAAGGTGGAGGAAGAGCAGAGTCGAAACTAAGGATTTGGGAACTGAATTCGGTGGAATCTGATACACAACTGTGAGGTAAAGGCTAGTCAAACTTACATCGGTACAATAGTTCGATTCGACAGTAGCATAATACGTTATCAGGTAACAAACATCTCCAATGCGAGTAATAGAAGGAGTGTCGCAATGAAGTTAATTAATTTCTCTACATTTTGTAAAGTACATTAATCAAAATGTCGACCAGAATAAATACAGAGAGAAACAAAATAATAGTTATGAAACTTATTGATAACGCCAGAGTCATCGTGTGGTTAGTCCGCATTCTTGACTTTACTTCAAGAGAGATGGCTTGTTCCGTGAAAGTTGTTGATCGAGATTACGTCGAAGGTAATTTCAGGCTTTTAGGAATGTTTAGCTGGTCTTCGGCTTGAGGATGAGACTGTTTATTGGGTACTTTGATTCTTTCTAGCATGCAGAACTGATCTCATCGTATATGTTGCCTGTTGCCTCTGAACTGCTTTCCTTCTTCGGTTTCGACGTCTCGACGTCGTGTGACCGTTTGCTGATCTCTTTCATCACTATGGCTGGTTTCCAAAAATCTTCCTCTATTTTCATAGGTTGGATTTTAATAGTGTCATTTGCTGTCAACGGTCTAAGTTTCTTCCTGTTTTTCGTTCGGTTTCCTATTTCCAGTCGTTTGCTTTCTTGTTGTACTGTTAATCCCTGACGTTCCGGAGCCTCTGGTTGCAGTGGTGATGAGTTTGATGGTATCAAGGTCATGGTTAGTCGTCTGAGTAACCGTTGTGCTCTGGGGCCGTATTATCAAAACTTCGTAAGTACGCGAAATCGATTTACCAGAGGCGTAAGTGCTGACTTGATGACGTAACTGTAGAGGTGGTATTAACCGTATTATCAAAACATTTGTGCGGGAAGACAACAATCAGCAAGCAGGATGTTAACAGCCCAACAATCAGCATGCAGGATGTTAACAGCCCAACAATCAGCATGCAGGATGTTAACAGCCCAACAATCAGCATGCATAGCTGTTAACTGGTCGCTGCCTGTTAATTATGCAAGTATGCTACTGTTGTGCACGGCTTCAACAGCCTCTTATGGATCTTATTGTCGCGTGTTTTATCTTGTTGCTTTAGAGATGCTGTCAAATGCAATGAAGGAATGCGGGAACTAAAGTTATCATTAGGAAGTAATATTGAGAAATGATAAATGGAAAGTAGGTGAATATATGAATGAATGAGCGAGTAACTAATGGAATGACAATTACTTGTCGCTCATATTTATGAAAAATGATGAATTGAAATATAGTCTGTTATATAGTTCCAAATAATGGCTATTAAGTCTATATACTACCGAATAGTGATTTGACGAATAATTAATATTGATTTGATGAATAGTGAATGTTGATTTGATGAATAGTGAATGTTGATTTGATGAATAGAGAATGTTGATTTGATGAATAGTGAATGTTGATTTGATGAATAATGAATATTGATTTGTACCTGTGAATAAATGACCTGGTAAATGAGCATGAAATCAACCGACCCAATTCTAGTAGATTAATGTTGCTAATTCATTTGAATGCTTCCGAACGAATTTGAATAACAACTGACGATCATAAATTTCGCACAAATAATTGAGGACAAATAATTTTTAAAATACTTTTGATTGAATTTCATTCTCTCGGACTGAACGTACATACTGAATAGATACTCATACTCTACTGAATAGATACTCATACTCTACTGAATAGATACTCATACTCTACTGAATAGATACTCATACTCTATGGATAAATTTATCGGCGCACCTTGGCCGGATCAGCGAAGTTTATGGTCGCGTCTTGGACAATATCGGCGACGTTAGGGAGGCCATCTGATGGCCCGATGGCTACCATAGGAAGATCGTGTTTGTTGATGGCCATGGCCTTCTTGGCCACCTCCAGCAGCGGCCCAAACACGACCACCATCTCAGCTCCGCTGTCCTTCAGCTGGTGAGCCACCTCGGCTGTTCACACAAAACTCAATATAAGTTCAAATTTTTTGGTTTAAGTTCCCCAATTCGCCAGGAAAGAATGGGTCATTAATGGGTCAGCCATAATAACATTAAAAAATATAACTCAATACTCACTGCAGTGAGTGACAGAGAGCGCATTTTCTCGTCGACGAAAACGTGGAGTCACGGACGGACGGTTAGACAGACAGGCGGATGGACAGACGGACATGGCGAGCGCAATAGTGCATTTTTTCCATAAATGAGAAAATGCGCTAAAAATAGATATATCAGCTAATAAATTTTCCCAACATTAATATTTATTTTATTTAGTTATTTATTAAAAAAAATATTTATTTATTTCTCTTATTCAAAAATATAAAACCATTCCCATTTTTCTACGAAATAGTCACGTTATCGCATATGTAGTTTGTTCCTTGAGTGCATTGTGTCTTGATGTCAGGGAGAAGACTTGTGGCTGTGTGCACAACAATCATAGTGTTAACATGTGCACTAACATGCACAGTGTTAACATGTGCACTAACATGCACAGTGTTAACATGTGCACTAACATGCATAGTGTTTAGCATCGATGCTGATGGACAATGCGCGGAGGACTTCACTGAGGTCTATTACAAGTAAATATTGTTTGTACAGCACAAGCTTATTCGTTATGTGCTCACTGGCAGTGTAGTTGGGATTAATGCCAGTGTAGACACACCCCACACTGATGGTGCCAAACACCACCGCAGGATAGTCGACCATGTTGGGGCTGAGCACCGCTACCACGCTGCCCCTCCCCAGACCCTTCGTCAAGAGGTAACCGCCCCACCGAAACGCAGCATCCTTCAGCGCCCCGAAGCTCACGAGGCGCCCCGAGTCGCTGCACACCTAGGGGGGGGGATGGTCGGTTTATGGGCGCCCCGAGTCGCTGCACACCTAGGGGGGGGGGGATTATGGTC